TAATATAATATAATATAATATAATATAATATAATATAATATAATATAATATAATATAATATAATATAATATAATAATATAATAATATAGTAAGAGTAAGGCAACTGGCTCTTGTCTTATTTGTTTAAATAACATCTCTGTCTTCACAACCATGTTCTCTACAGTTTCTTTAATCTGTAGCATGAAATCTTTGCATAGGAATACAATACAATCCCAGAGATATGTATCTCAGAGGTAAATAAAAACATCCACATTCTTGGTCCTCAGCCATCAGCTCCTGTTCTCTGCTTCCTAGACTGATGCTCTCATTTCTAATTTTCTTTTCTTTTCTTCAACACTTTAGAAGAAGTTTTCATCATTTTCTTTGTAGGTGATTCTTGCTGGAATTTGCATACATTTTTGTGGACAAACTGTCTGTTTTTGTAATATTGAATGAATGAAGACCCATGGCCAAGCAAACAGATTGGTAGAAATAAAAGTCACATTGTATAGCCAGTGTGATGGTTCCTAGCCACCCACCCCAACAATCAGACTACAATCTCTTAGGTGAACCATTTTCTCTCTGTCTCTATCCTCCTGCCCACATGAGTATGAAAAAAGAAAATGACTTCCAATAGAAAAGAATATGTGTAGTTCATCTATGTAAAATTGCAATTAAAAAATGCCCCAAAATGATCTGACAGGTGTACATTTTTGAATATTGTAGTGAGACAATCTGATAACCTTCTTCTACTTTAATTCCATTTCTTGCAGGATTTTGCTCTTCAGAGTAGCCACGGGCCTTCTTCTTCCCCTATAGGTCTAAAGAAATAAATATCAACAGCCTTTCTTTTATTCTGTTGTATCCCCTTGTAGCCCGACCCTGCCGGACGAGATATTTCAATTCTTCCCATTTTGGAGCATTGTGAAAACACTCATATGACTATCTGGCTTGGCATCGTTTATGCCTATAAAGGCCTACTCATGGTAAGTTGAATGGTAAGTGCAGCTCAGAGCCTAGGGTGGTAGTGTAATGTTTAGTATCTTGGCTCAGGAATTCAGGAAACTTTAATTCACAGTTTTGTTTAGCCATAAAACTGTCTGGGGTCACTTTATATTCGTCATTGTTGCTCTGCCTAGCTTACCTTCTAGGATCGTTTCTGGATAAAAAGGATGTTAGGAGAAAATTGGGTACTTCCCCTGAAAACCCTGAAGGAATGATAGGAGGAAAAATATATGAAATAAAAACATATACTGTGGCTTTCTTGTTTGTGCTATACTTTTCTAAACATCTACAGTATATTACAGAGGTTTATTTCATTGAAATGTATATATGTTCTAATTATAAGTAAATAGAATATATTTATTATTGATATATTAACACGGTCTTAAAATGAGAGCTAGTTTGGTGTGGAGTTAGGGTTCT